TCTCTCTCTCTCTCTCTCTCTCTCTCTCTCTCTCTCTCTCTCTCTCTCTCTCTCTCTTTCTCCCTCTTTCTCTCTCTTTTCTCTCTCTTTTCCTCCTCTATCCCTTTCTCCCTCTCTTATGTGCTTTCCCTCTTTGGCTCTTTGGCTCTTTTTTTGTCTTGCGGATTCTTTCTCGCCTTCGGACTGGGTTGTATCCGGGTGTCTCATGCCTCCGTGGTAGTGTTCCGGAACCGCCTTTTTTCAAGGAAGTTTGCTCTCTCAGTCGCTGATAGTAGTGGCAAGGGTCGAAGTTGATGAAACAATGATAGAGCTCGGGGTTGTATAAGTGCCCTTCCCAAGGTGGAGTGGAATAGGAATGGGTCGTTACCAAGTCTGAGACGGTTTCGCAACTTTATGATTGTCTCTGTGCTTTTATGATAGCTTGGCGGTGAAATTTTCACTGATTTGTTCCATTGGTCCGTTGCATTAATTGATTCGGGGTGTTTCCAATTACGTTTTCGCCTCGTGCATTTGTCGGCTGAATGATTTTATAATTGATGGCTAAAAGTTCGACTTTCCCCATCTTCATTTTGTTTCCCCCTTCTCGTTTTTTCTCTTCCCCTTTCTCTCTCTCTCTCTCTCTCTCTCTCTCTCTCTCTCTCTCTCTCTCTCTCTCTCTCTCTCTCTCTCTCTCTCTCTCTTTTCTCCTTTCCTTCGTATTTGTTTCCCTCCCCCGCTCTTACTTCTTTTGCCTCTCTCCCTTCTCCCTCCCCTAGGTTCGGCCTCAGAAACACTGCTTTTGAGCCTCCTGGACACCCCTCTGTTTAAATCCAACATAAGAATATTGGTGATCGTTTCCCTCGTGATCTTTCCGGGCTGTTGCAATTGGAGAATCATTGGGCTGTCTGTTTTTAATCGACTTTTTGTATTCTCGTATAAAGCATTTTAAACTCTCGGGACGTACACTAAGCTGCCTTGCTGTATATAGTCGCCATGCCGTATGTCACAACTCGCCGCGCCTTTTTTGGTGTGGGGGTTCGGTATCAATACTACACACACACAAAAAAAAAAAAAAAAAAAAAAAAAAAAAAACAAACAAACAAACAGAGCCTACTGTTACATTACAGCTCATCACTTGAGGTGGGGGAGGAGGGGGAGGAGGGAGGGCGAAGAGGGAGGCGGTAGAGGGGGAGGAGGAGAGTTCGTCCAAACCCCGAAGACGAAGAAGGGTTTAGGGTCCGGGAGCGGAGCATGTATAGGTGAAGCACCACCCTCTCCCTGCTGCACAAAGTCGATCGATAACCGCGCCAAACCCAAGGTCAGCCCTCAGAGACCCTGGTACTGATTTCTGACAGTGTCATCGAGCTATCAGAAGAGACAAGGCTTGCAGGAGAGAACAACATCGACAATCAAGATGCCAACTTTCCTTTTTTTCCCCCCTTTAAGATGCCAACTTTCCTTTTTTCCCCCCCTTCAAGATGCCAACTTTTCCTAGTGCGGAACTTCCTTCACTTGCTGGCTCAGGAATTCCCAATGGCATGATCTCCGTGTACCTTTGGCGCGTGGGAAAATAGCGGGCCTCCGGTGGGCCACCGACCTTTTCGGAGGCCGAAACGAAACAACGGCCGCCGATCAGATTTATCAATGGCAGTCGTCGTCGGGCCCGGCCTCCGAATCTTTAGGAGTTTGGGAAAACAGCCAGTTTTCCCTATTTTCCCACGCGGGAAAGGTACTAGTGGTTGAAGGGGGGAAAAAAGAAGGAAAGTCTATGCACCACTTTTTCCATGGGAACTCCATCAACAAAAAAGAGTACGGACCAAAACTTCTGGTAAGCAGGAAACAACAAGAAGAGTAGGAAAAGCAGAGAGTGAAAGGGGGGGAGAGCAGGGGGGAAGAGGGGGCAGGCGAGGAAGTTGTTCCCTCCAGTATCTTCAAAATTTCTACCCAGCGTACGATTGCGCACCATAACTGGGGATTGAACTGGGGTTGAACAATTGCGAAAGATGCTTAGATTTACCATAACATGACCAGGTTCACCTCGTAACACTAATGAACTCGAACAAGCAGCTTGGGTCGTTTACACTAGAGCGATATCTATGGAATGACGTTAAGGGGGGGGGGGGAGAGAGAGAGAGAGAGAGAGAGAGAGAGAGAGAGAGAGAGAGAGAGAGAGAGAGAGAGAGAGAGAGAGAGAGAGAGAGAGANAAAAAAAAAAAAAAAAAAAAAAAAAGCACATGCGCGCCCATTTCTCCGGTTTGTTCGTCTTTATTTTTGGGGGGGACCCCATGGACCACGGAATCAGGTATGAAACCGATCGGTACAGAAAAGACACGAAGGTGTTTTTTTTTGTTTTTTTTTGGGGGGGGGGCGTAGGTACTCTCTCTCTCTCTCTCTCTCTCTCTCTCTCTCTCTCTCTCTCTCTCTCTCTCTCTCTCTCTCTCTCTCTCTCTCTCGGGCGCGCGCGCGCAAGGTTTTCCCATTTCTTTTATTCCGTTTTTTTTTATTGGTGCGAATGGAGCACGGATCTATGAATCCCCACCGGAGGCGGCCACGTGCGGCCTAGGCCGTGGTACGCGGCCATGAAAAAAAAAAAAAAAAAATTCAAAAAATTCTGGAAAAACAATATGTTATGGAGAAAAATATATTGAACAACTTTTGCCTTGTGGTCATATCCAAAAACTTTACTGAATTTAAAATAAAAAAAACACCTAAGTTTCATAGTTTTTCTTAACAAAAAAACAAACAAACAGCTTTTGCCTCAGGAAAATTAGTTTTTGAATTTTTAAAGTTAAAAGATGAAGTCAAAAGATAAAATAAAACATTGCGCAATTTAGATCTCAAAAAGATCTACAACACCATAGTTTTCGTATTTGTTTTTGAGAATTTTTTTAAGTC